TAACGAGTAATTAATTATTAAAAATCGTTGTCTTAGGCCGGCCTACCGCCCAATTCGAGCGCGTGGCGAGATGTGCGCATAGCAATATCGATCGCCAGGCGGTCACATCTTGCCACGCGCTCGAATTGGACGGTAGGCCGGCCTAAGACGACGATTTTTAATAATTAATTACTCGTTAACTATTACGAAAATTGCAAAATGGTACAGGACTTTTCCGTTCATCTCGATCCGTTCTACCTTCTCAAAAATTTTGTCGGATATGGAAAGACTCACCCTGTATATACGACCGCATCAGCAGACGCAGTTTAATCATTTAATGGTCTATTTTTTATTATGGCTGAAGATAGTGTACTAATTCAGTGTTTATCTTTCTTCTTTTAATGAAGGGAAAATTCTAAGGGAGAAAGATGTATGCATATACATTTGTTTCACATATTTTCTATCAAACGATAATGCTGTTTGAATGAAACAATAATATCGTTTAGATTAAAGAGAATATTCCTTTCGTTTCAAACAAATATTTTATTTCTGACAAAGATATATATTATTTCAAATTCAAACAATCGTACTTGTTAATTCAAACATTGATTTGTTTCGACCATTTCAAATATCAAATTTGTTCGGATACAACAAAATTTATTAAATCCAAAGAAATCGTTTTCTCTGTGTAAGAGGCCTGATGTTGCGCAAAGTTGTTTTTATAGTGCATCTCGAGAAGGAGAACACTGCTCTCCTCAAAGAAGCTTCCGTGCAACTATTGAATTAAATTTTACGTGGTGTTATTCCGAAGGATTCAGTAGCTTACAAGATTTTGTGTATCTTATAGCGAATTCGGTTGCTTGCACTAGTGCGCACTGAGTGTGCACTAAGGCTTGTTTACAGTCAATTCTTGTATTTAAGAATCGTCTTAAATGTTCTTGAAATATTTCGTAGCCAGTAAAATGATCTGTATAGCATCCATACGGATTATGTTTTGGCTAAATACTCTTTGAACATATATTTAAGACAAAGTTAAACATAAGAATTGACTATAAATTGGCCTTAGTGTGCACTCAGTGATAGTAGATTTTTATTTGCGCTACTTTCACATCGCGAGAGGGATTATGGAAAAAATTGATTGCCCGATGTATCCTGAGATCTAAATATAATCATTTCTTTTTATCTTTTGTATGAAAAAGAAGTAGCGATAAACGTTATTTAAACATATAAATTTAATTATTAGTTTGTTATTCGTCGCAAAAGAATAAGTATTTTTCGAGAATTGCGAGGACAATCATCGATGATTTTGAAAGATTTTTAGAATTGTATATTACATTGTATGAGGATTTGTTTGGAATTTTTAGTCGGATTTTATCGTTGGTATTGGTTACAGTTAACGCTGCATTTTTCCACTGATGTTCTTTTGAGAGCTTTGAGTGAAAGCCTTTCCTGCACCGGGTCCAAGAATAACGCCACTATTGACCAGGCAGGCTCGATAATAACTGGTGATAGTCTGCCCACGTCGATGTCTCGTGAAACCGATTTTTATAGTCTTTTATGCGAGGGAAAATATTCATAGTAACGACAAATTTCCAATCGACCGTCGTACACGCTTCGAGTTGCGCGCAACCTTTCAGGACTCCACAAGTAACATCTTATTAAGGAATTTTCGTGTAACATTGTGTGCGTTGTTCCACTGTTTTGAATCTTCTCACGTATCAGGTAATCTGATCGTGAAATTGCGCTCTCTTTCGTACAGTTGGGAGAGCTCGTTGAAATTATTTGCGTCCGTTCAGTTTGAGAGTTGAAATTGTTTGGGATGTAGCGTTCTTTGAAACACTTGAAGAATGCGATGGCATAATATTCTCCAAGATTGTACACGATGATTATTTTTTTCATCGTGTACCCGTACTGCAACAATTATTTCTTCGGAATTACAGAATGGTCTAGAGTCTAGAGATCAGTTCCCCGACTACAACACAAAACACAGGGACGGTTTATTACTGTCTGTATTGCGCTAGGTTCCGTTTAAATTTACGACAGAGCGAAACTCTTTCGATTTGTCGAATAGCGAGAAGTGAACTTACTTCATGGATAAACGAGAAACATTCGCTTTGCCTACCGGTTAGGAACTTTGCGCATTCAGATGGTCTAAATTTATAAATCGTATCCGCACGCGTATCACAACAAATCAGACTCTGTGAAAAGAGTCCAGTTGCACCTGTGCAGCACACATTAACGACGTCCATTGTAATCGTGCGCTACCTTATCCTTAAAATGTTTATCATCACGTGGTCCACGTGCACGTATTCCTTCTTGTTGCTTCTGCCTCACCTTAGCTTTTGGGGAAGGATCGCCAAAAAAAAAAGAGAGAGAAAAGGGACAGTTTTAGGGTTTAAGAGGGAAAGGGGAAATAGAAAATGGGCTTAATGTTTTTTTCTCGGAGCTGGATTCCCCGTTTTGATGTATCGATCGGCGCACCGCCACCGTCCGTCTCGATTTCTACACAGGATCAGACCACAAATGAAGGACCGGGCTTCTCCGGGCCCCTATTTCTTGTTCCCAGGCGGCGAGCCAAAAGCACAAATGGGAGGTTTTCACGTACCTGACGCCGACCTTCTGCGACCACTGCGGCTCGATGCTTCACGGTATCGCCCATCAGGGACTCAAGTGTTCAGGTAGTTAAAAGAGCTAAGAAATCAAGCCACGCGTCAACGACACGTCAAACCCATCAAACAGCCAGATATCTCGCACACGAATCCCACTCTGCTACCATTACCATTAATTCCCGCCATAGCTTCACAGGAATTTGACCATCTGGGTTGCCCGAATATCTCTCCCGGCAAGACGATCGATTTGACGGGTGGGCCAAAATTTCAGATATCGATTTTAGCCCCGGAATACTTGATAGCGGATGCCCGCGAGTTCCGTCTTGACGTAATAATTGCCATGTAAGAAATGCAACGAGACACATAAGTAATCAGCTTAATAATATATAATAATTTATGAATAAAGGTGAAATAAAGACGGGATGTTTGCATTGTGGATAGCATTACGCGGTGGAAGAACAATCGCGTTACGGTTTAATGGACGGTAGATATTGTTATTATGGAGGGCAAAGCGAGAAATGCCGATAAAAAAGAATATCGAAAATCCATCGACGGTGCAAACGGGTAATTCGTTATACCGCTATTAATAGCTAACATATCGATATCGCGCTTTATCTCGTTGCGCGCGTTTCGCGCACTTATTCGGAGACCCAGTTACAGGCTTTTCAGATCACGAGGCTGCGCGTTTGCGAGCAGTATAGAAAAATACTCGACAATTGAGTCTCTTTTGTTGCTTTTACCTCGTGGCACGTTAAACTGCTTTAAAGTAATCGCAGCTAATTTAATGCAATAATAAATAATTATATTTTCAAAAGATTGAAATGGATTTTACGATTTTTTGTCTCACTTAGGCGATATCGTTTATATTCATTTATATTCGTACATAAATATGGTTTGAGACAGAATTAAGTGACTTTTATGAGCATTTTATTTGCGCATTTGTCGCAAAATATAATGGAAGATTTTTTCAAATTAAACAATTCTGTATTCATCGCTATAGCATGTTTTTCATAAAATCTTTGAATTGGCACAAATGCATTAAAAAGATAATGCACTATTTTAATTAAAAATACGATAGATCTGATTAAGAAAATGCGTCGAACGCATTGATCGAATGTTCGCGCCGGGTTATCGGAAATGTTGGAACCAGGTGGGACGGTATCAACTTCAGAAGTAACAAATGCTTCTTAAATTTTCTTCGTCGCTCGTGAGACCTCGGGGAGAAAGGAGCATCGGAAATGCACGGATCAGGTGACTGGAAATTTCGTATCTCCAACATTCGCGTCTGTATCGGGCAAGTTCGGGAACGTACATATGTTCGAGAATCGTTTGCCCAATGACACCTCGCTCCATCAGACACAAACAATGCCGCGATAGTAGTTTTGCATTTACAAATCGATGACATTTTCGGTAACCGACATTTAACACGAAATTATGCAACGGATCTTGTAAGAATTTGCAAAATTTGCAAAGAATTGCAAAACACAATGAATTCTTTGAACGTGCGCTTTCGACAAAATTAACAAAAATGTTTTTACCGTATGCAATGATAATTAAATCGACAATGTTACAGCTACTTTATTTGTTTTTCTAAATTTTGTACATCTGTTCTTTGTATAAAAATATTCCGGGAAGTATTTTTAATATATGTAAAAGTATAACTTTTCTTTATTAAACAGAGATTCTTCTAGAATGATCATCGATTACGCGATAGTCTCCGTCGAGCTATTTTCACGAATTTCTCTCTAGTTTTTCGTTTTCGCGGTTGCAACGGTCTTTACGCCGTTACGGCTTTCGAAAATCGAATAAATTTCACAGAACGTGCACTATTTAGTTTGCATCTCAAGGCAACAACGCATCGTCCAGCTTTTCAGCCAGAAAACGACGATGCTTTTTTCGTCATCTTTGTCGTGTTCGAGGTCGCCGTACAATCCGTTCTATAATTGTGCGGTGCAGCGATCTTTTATTTGGATATACATCGCAAACACACATGTCGCGGTGCAAGCATATTTACACATGCAAATAACGCCGTGATTGACGACAGTTTGTGAATAAAACCGTAGGAATTTCCTGTATACGTTTAACAAATAGATGAGTCGGTTGAGCTTGATTTATCGGAGCAATCAATTTGATTATAGAAATTTGATTATGGAATACGAGCGCGGAAACCCAACGAACATGGTCAATCGTTTTTATCGCTAACTTTGTTAACAGAAACCATTCAAGAGTCGACCAACAAACGAGAGACATTTATAATATGATAGAAAATATATTACCTTATATACTTTTAAAGCATTGCACATCTTCCATGAAACATAAATTATGTCTTTTAAATTCAGCAAAAACGATGCATTACGATCATTAACTTCTCGCTGAATAATTCATTTTTATATTGTACAGAACGACTGGAAACATTAGAAATTTAAGAAATTGATTAGATTGCTTGTTCTTCTTTATCGAGAACTGATATCGAAGCAATCGAAGCTCCATGACTAATACAAGAAAATTTGCAAGTTTTGTCACAGGCCTAAAATAAAATATATATACAAAATTATTTTATTTTTGTTTAAATATAAATAACAATAAACAAATATGTGATGATTCGGTTGATAATAACGTTTGAATTGTATTGTTAACTTTAGTTTAATACCGTTGCTTATTATAAATTCGTATCGGTATATTTATTTTAATATATATGTATTAATTGTTCGCATCTGACTCCGACTGCCTTTTCCTCTTTAGTGAAAAATATTAATATATCTATGTAAAGATTTTTGGAAAAATTAATTCACAATTTTTTTAGTCAGAATTTGAAATATAAGGTACGATTTCGATAGACGTAGGTAATTTTCGCTGTTACTCTAATTACGAATAAACATAGAGATTATTTCTGCGAGTTTTTACAACATTGAAATTCGAGCTTTCTAGAATCGTATTGTTTTCAGCGTTGATCGGAGCAACGAAGCACGTTAATGTAAATTCAAGATCGTCCTGAAAAACACAGACGCACGCGATTATCTCGCTTATCACCGTATCTTTAAACGTCTGCAGGAGATCTCACTTTAAAAACCAGGGTTCTTCACTCGAGTGTGGTTCACTTTTTGCGCTTCGACATTCGTGCTACGGGTTTTGCACGGGCTTTAGACCGCGTAATCACCCTCTCGATGCACTTGAAAGAAACATCCCCCCCGCCATCGAGAAGACCCACCGCTTCACGCTCGCTGGTACGCTAGCTATTTCACTGTCGTCTCTCTTGCGAGCTCTGTGGAAAAGCTTTCGGGCGACGAGATGCACGATTGCACGCCGACTGACACGGAAAACGTGTACCGGGCGACACTGACGTATTTAGCAGTGAATTTTACATGCAGCGAGAGTGGCACGGAAACGTACCTTGCGGTATATCGCGATGAGGTGCGTGCCAGTTGCCGCACTTTCTGCGTTTTCCTTCGGAAAGATAAGGGGACACGCAAATCCTTATCTCAGCAGAAATCCTCTCCGTTTTAGGAAGCACCCTTAAGCGCATGTAACATTCTCCATCACTCGAACACTCAACCGAAGAAAATCTAATCGACCGCATCACCCCGCGATTCGAACGAATATATTTCTTGAAATAAAGTAATTTTCATACCTATTCAACTTAACAGAATATATTAACACGATCGATATATATATTGGTCTTATGTAGATACACTTTGGTGCATTTTTTATGTTATCACCCGACCGTACTACACACTATATTGTATCACTGCTGCGCGCTGCTCGATCTCCTCCTCGTTCTCTCCGTCATATAGACGGCGACCGCCTTGTGCCTATCCCCCCCGACACACAAAGCGCGAGCAGAAATGTATTTTAATATACCACTCTCTCCATTCTTCGCCTATTCACTTGTCGCTTATTCACACGGCGCATTCTAACCCCGCGTCGTGTGCATCTCGCCGGGTGTTGAACACCCACCGATGTGCCGTCATACGCATCTCTACCAGTGTATTACATATGTATATAAATTGTATATATTACGTCATTTGACGCACCGCTCACTTGGACGAGTAATTATTGTTATCGCTATTAAAATGAAGTAATTACGTAATCAATGTAGTATGATTTCAGTGACTGTACATGCGATATGTATGCGTGCATATAGCGAAATTCTCGACGACACATAATTGGTTTAACTCAATTTATTACAGACTGCTCTCCTCTGATTTTAATTTTGACTTTACGAAAATTTCCAAAGAAGCCATCATTTAAGTTTTCAACTTTTGATAATTGTACTAATTATTTTGATAATTAAATCACAAGTCAAAAGTAAGAGAAGATAAATCCGTAAGTTTAAGGGGTCATTCCGCTTTAACGACCCAAAAACTATGTTTATCCTTTTTTTTCGCAGTAAATACGCCATACAATGAAATAAATCTTTTTTGGAATTTGTTAGGGCACTCATAAATAACACCAAAAAATGTTTGTCACAATTTAAACAATTTTTTAATTAAGCTTTTTCTACACTGAGAGACCCATTTTGTCGAATGAAACGAAACAATTTCATTGAATCATTTTGTTGACTGAATCTTTTAATTGAATATTATCAAAGGATTCTGCGCATGTTTACTCATTTCATTGTACGGTGTGTTTACTGTGAAAAAAATTGTTAAAGATAAGCATATTTTTTGCGCCGTTAAAGTGAAATGACCCCTTAAGGGAATGCTGGAATGATTCTGCACTTTTGCACCATTCTAACCTAAAAACTGCCAGTTCACGGAAACATTTGTGTAATATACAAATTAAATGGCTTATGTATACAGATCGAAAGCAGCTTGCTATTCCGGCCAAATGAAAGAACAATATGGCATCACTGAAACTAAGTTTGTGAGTCTAATAAAAAATAATAGTGAGCAATACACACATACAGTATATGTAGTATGTGTGTTGCTCACTATTATTTTTTATTAGACTTACAAACTTAGTTTCAGTGATGCCATATTGTTCTTTCACTTAGCCGGAATAGCGAGCTGCTTTCGATCTGTACACGTGAGCTATTTAATTTGTATATTACACAAATGTTCCCACAAAACAGACAGTTTTAAGTGCAGAAGGTGCAAAAGTGCAGAATAACTCCAGCATCCCCTCAAGTGAGCAATGAAGTTCTTATTTAGCCGTGTATACTAGCGGCGCTTACCTATTGGAGAATTTACGTTACTTATTGGTCAAGTTTCATTTGTATTCTTTAGCATCTTTTTGTTATATTCCTTGTAGCTGTTTGAAACTTATTTCGCGAAATAACGGCTATCTGTAAACAAAGTGTAGAAAAGAAATAGTAATATTATGCAGTCTTTACATGTTACTATAAGAATGTCTCTATATGTACGTACTTTTGTATATCTACGCACTGATGCACGATATATACAAATATTCACATACATATGTATATATAATATATTTACACACACACATATACATGTGCACACAACCATGTTTATCGTGCATGCATGTAAACTTTGTATATTTATATATATACACGTTCATGTAGATTTATAGCATCCACTTATCAGCGCGTGAATTCAAGTACCTAATCGTATACCCTTCCTTGACAGACATGCGAACCTCTGATTGCATACTGTGTGTTGACCACTTGCGTGATTATCATTCGTGTTACCCGCAATTAGCTTTTCGTTGACATGTATTTATACACAGCTATACACATAACTGTTTACCATATTTGTACCGAACCTTTCATTCCGTTAGTAGATCTTGCGCGAAATAGCGAGAGATCTTGTAGAATATTTTACATATAGTATGTACGCGTGGGAATAATGCCAACAAGAAACGAGGTCATACTCATGGTTTACCATAAGATAACTTGTTTTTCTGTACATTCGCAAAATGATTGTACCTTTATTGTTTTATGTTAAACACAATTACGATTTATAATAACATGAGATGAATGCGATCGGAGAGCGAGTCGCATCTTCATAAATGCTCGTTTATCGATTTGCTGTATTTCAATTTTCGCCTCGCGAGTTTTCTTCAAATCGACAGGAAGCAGTTACTTTCATATTGTCACCGTGCTTGTCCTCTGGGCCATCTTAAATTCGATTCACTCTGCTATTCTATTCATCCGTTTCACTTGGTTCCCACTGAATGCTTGCAGATGCTATTTTCATCGACATGAAAAAGAATGAACATTTATCCCGTATTTTGAAATATGAATTGTCTTAATGTTCAACTTTTCAGTATAGTGAGTTATTTTGGAAGCGGTTTTAGCAAAGATAAAGTTCTAACGTTGTAAACACTGTAGTCAATACAATATTATAATTGTACAATATTATAAATTGATATTCTACTAGACAAGAGAAACATGTAAATACCTATTTTTCCTCGGTTTCTATCGTCGTATTTTTAATGCGACGAATGAACGCAAAGATCTCCTGTGGTAGAAATTATAGCAACTTTTTGTTTTACTGTCTAGACGTTAACTTATTGTATAATATAATTAAACGGCTTTAAAGGTAGTAATATACTTGAATCTTTTCTTCATAATGTGATACGCTGCTTTCGAAATAAATAACTCATTTATCTTCCTGATCCTGATAAATCTCCCACGCGTACGTATGCGTAACCGCAGCTGTGCTCGAAAACTTTAATCGCTTGAAATATCCGAAGCGATATAGCCAATTTAAGAATATTTAAAAAGAATGGACGAGCAGCCTCGCGCAATTTGAACATCAGCTGCGATTACGTTGCCTGGTTGGAAATTAATGATACAACAAATCGATCTTTTTGCGGCAACACTGAGAGAAAAAAAAACAGAGATTATGGACGAAGGTCAATGATGATATAATTGATGATAATCTAATGACGTAGCATGCGACATGAACGTGCACAAAAGATGCGAGGAGAGCGTGCCGAATCTATGCGGATGCGATCACACCGAAAGACGTGGTCGTATACACCTGCACATCTCATGTGCCGGTAGCAAACTCTCCATAGAAGGTGAGTTTAATTACGTCTTATGCCCCAATTTGCCTCTATACCTTTATCCCTTTCGATTTGTTTACTTTAAAATTTATGTCAGGGTCTCTCTCTCTCTCTCTCTCTCTCTCTCTCTCTCTCTATTTCACACTTTTTCAAATCTTCGAAATTATTTCATTGTCACAAATTAATCGACAACACTATATTTTATACACTTACAATATATTTTCTATTATTTGTATTATGTTTGTATTATAACTTTCAGGTCTACATTAAAAAATTATTTTAATCTGATTTTGTAATCGCAATTAGTGATCTTAAATATCTTCATACATTTTTTATTTCTTACATTAGACAACTTTCAGTTTTTTCTTCCTCTCGTAGGATGGAAAATCAATTATCGCTATGATTGAACTTTTCCCTGTCTCGGATTTTTAGAAAGAGATTAAAGGATATGTATGTAATATTACGAATAACAAAATTGATTACAAAATTTTGTAATTATACAATTTCTGGCATCATTTTATGGTAACATAAACTATGGTTTATTAGTTTCAGTGTTATAAAGTGTCTTTTCTTTTGTCTTATTACATAAGAAAGAGTTTGAAAAAGCATTTAATACGAAACTAATTACTTTCTTTTAATATTTTTTTATGATATATTCAAGAAAGAGGAAAATCTAAAACACTGTGGTGAAACTTATACAATTTTATGTTCATAATAATATAATAAGGTATTAATATAATAGTATCCAAAAACTGGAATATATATCAGAAGTTTATTTTCGCTAATTTGTTTAGTATTCTATTCAATTAAATAGATTTATTTAATTTACAATAAAACATAAATTTTACAATAAAAAAATATTAAATCTCTTTACTCTTTCTATGTACGTAAAATAATATTTAAAAAATCATGTTCCACTCATCTAAATACAATGATATTCGATTATGAAAGACGGACTTGAATTTAATTAATGGACGCATTTATATTTAATCATGCTGCAAAAAAGATTTCCGGTTTAAATTATAATGAGTAATGAAATGCGTCACACATATTGAACCTTCATAATGTGTTTACGGAGATTATTTTTTACGATGAGATCATTCCGCACTCAGGAAAGCATACGTTCTTTGGTGGGAATATACCACAAATAAATTAGATACGCTTGAATTGCCGATTGCGGCAAACGAATAATCCGAAACGAATTTTTAACGCTCATTTGAGACAAAGATAGATGATGTGAAGGGGAAGCCGATCGTTAAACGGCGCGATAATAATAGCTCGTTATTAGTGGCTCTTTACTAGCTGAGCTCCTTATAAATATTCTCACTCGTTAAAATTAATTAGAGAACCCTCGCTTTTCGAAAGTCTGATTTAATAAAACCATTCAACGTCATTGTCGAGGATGATCATTTCGGATATTTATCCGAGGACAGTGTAACAATGGCATCGGAGTTGTTATCTATGATCGCTTGCGATATATTGAGCCTTGTAAGGGCCAGGTGATCGCAGGCATTATTATCGTAAGAACGTAATAGCCCTGAATACCGTTACAACCTGAAAGCGTAATTATCCTCAGCCAGCATTAACGCGCCGATATCCATCGCCATCCTCTAAATTCGCCACGGCTAGAGTGCATTAAATTTTCCATGGCTCTCGTCAAATCGGTTCACCGTGATGCTATTACTAGAGAACCCTGGCGAACCTTAACTGCACCACAAATATCTCGTTTCACAGCTCGCAAGCATTCGAATCGTAATAACGTTTTACTTATATCTTTCTTATATAACTAATCCTTTTTGCTCTATAAATTCTTAACTGGTATTCAAGTTACAGAAATTTAACGACCAATTATTGTAACAAGCGGTCATTAAGTATAAGTGACAGTTTTTTTTATGTAGCATCTTACTCTTAAAGATGTATCACATTCATTAAAACAAAAAAAAAGAATAAAAATATGTTGACGCATCATATTTTACAAAAAATTTGACATTCCACGATAAATTATTCGTATGATGCTTTACATTACATATATATATTAAATAAAAAATGTAACATGCCTGTATGATTATTATAATTTATTTTTCAATAATATAAAACGACTAATATGATTTATTCTCGAAATCGTATAAATTATTGTAGTTTATTAAATTAATGTAAAATGATTTTAATACAATTATGTGTAAAATTGTTTCACTAATCATATAACTTATGCAAAAAAAATTAACATTACGACAAATACAGATTCAGAAAATAAATGTTAATCCAAACTAACCTTTATGTAAGCTTCGCAAATCGACACAAAATTTGAATCATTATCAGGAATTATTATCATACGTGGTGTTATGATTTACGAATTACGCAATACCCTGCATTATTGCATAAATTTTGCATAAACTTGCAAAATGCCATAGCCCGCGCAATACCATCTTGCCGCGATCGCAGCATCTAAGTAATTTGATAAGCGTCGCGGAGAAACGGCGTGTTGGCTGCCTCGAAGCTCTTATCACCTGTCGATTATCTCGAAAATAAGGTTTCTTCGAACTCACTCGCAGCGAGCCTGACCGGGATACCAGGATATTACCGCCATGTCCTCGAGGTTTAATTAAAATTAGCGATAAACTAGATCAGAGGTTTCTTCGTGCAAAACAAAACGCGATTTTTCTCCTCTTAATTACATTCTTCTTAACTACGTTTCACCTCCAGTCAGTAGTTATTAATTACATTATTATAAAATGTCAGGCGTATTTGGTATAAAATATATAAAATAAAAATCATATTAATGGGCTGTTTAAGGAAAACCGATGAGATATGTAGGATTGTTCAAAACAAGCTTAATAACTGATGAGAGTTTTAAGAATGTGCTCTCAATTTTAAAGATTGGAAAAATGTATAGCTAGCGATGGCGCATACTTTGAATAAAACATTTTCTACCATTCACCCAAATTAAACGTGGTTTTTAAATGAAGAAATTAAGAATTATTAACCGGCAGGCCTGGTAGTTTGAGAATATTATGTTATAAATTTATTTTTGAAAATGCACTAAACATTACGAATAATAATAATGATAATTTCCGGTGTATCTGCAGTAGGTTTAGGACACTTGCTTGCTCGAATTTCTTTAATAATCGATACTCTAATTTTCGGAATACTCTGCGCGAAACTCATTTTCCGAATAAGTGCTCCGCTGTTATCTCGCGTCTTCCTCTTCGTATATTCTTTCTAAAAGATCTCGATTTGTTCGTTCGCAGTGCGAGAGGGACGAAATCTCATTCCGATGGATCCGAATGGGCTATCGGATCCCTACGTTAAGCTGAAGCTAATCCCGGTAATCCCGGATTCGGACAACGTGAAGAAGAAAACGAAGACAATCAAGGCGTGCTTAAATCCAGAATGGAACGAGACAATCATCTTGTAAGTTGTTTCGCTCGTTCGCTAATCGAGCACCGAGTTCGCTTTCGCATCAGACAATTAGATCCTTATTCCAGAGAATTAAAATGTTCCTCTAATGATGAAGTTTCGTTTGCAGATGTTTTTTCTCTAACTAAAACAAACTTAAGCATTACGTAACGAAGATGACAGATAAATTTCGTGTTCCTTTTCAAAATTAAAGCCATGAAATAAAGCCTTGAGAGATTCGATTTTGACAGAATATGTAAATTACAAAATATATTAAGCAAAATATTATAATAAATATTTATAATGCGTGCATTATATGAATTTATTTGAAATCTAATCACTTATCGATGTTGGTGAACTACGCAGTAGATTGAGATAATTTTTCAAGTAGGTTATACAAAATTATATGTCAAGCTCTCCATTTTATGACAAATCACAAATTCAACAATCATCGAAGTAGGAAAGGCGCATTTAAAGATTGAGAGTTAGAAGAGGTTACAAGGATTATTATTCCCGCAAGATAAAAGCAACACGTATAGCAATCTGACTTTAACAATTAGCGACCTCAAACCCGAGGATAAAGATAGACGGCTGCTGATCGAGGTATGGGATTGGGACCGAACATCCAGAAACGATTTTATGGGATCCTTATCCTTTGGCATATCGGAGCTTATTAAAGCGCCTGCAAGTGGATGGTTCAAGCTGCTCACTCAAGAGGAAGGAGAGTTCTACAATGTACCTGTTCCAGAGGAAGGCGTCGACCTCGCCGAGCTTAAAACCAAAATGCGGGTATTTATTTACTGGGCAACGTGCGAGCCGTGATTTATCTTTAAAATACATCATTCATCACTTGATATGAAACAACTAAGTTAGTGACAAGTTATCCCTTAAAGTAATTTGTTCAGTTGGCTAAATTATCTTTCCGATAAAGATAACAAGGTGATTTTTAATAATATTTCAAGTGATATTAAAAGTTCATCTGAAATAATCTACTAAAAACTTTCTACTTTGTATTTTATATAACGATAGCCCAGTCCTGACATGACTTATACGCGAGTTTACTTTATTCAGAAAACTTCGGTGACGAAAAAGACACACACGGCCCAGGACAAGGATGTGCCGCACAACATGGGCAAGAGTGACCTGATAAGAGCTAGCGATTTCAATTTCTTAATGGTACTTGGCAAAGGCAGCTTCGGCAAGGTAAGTTTTAACAATCTTGGGAAACGGTTGTTTTACCCCGCAATCGGCCGCATTTTGACGGAATTAATTAATTCTAGGTCTTGTTGGCGGAGAGAAAGGGAACTGATGAACTGTACGCCATCAAAATCTTGAAGAAGGACATCATTATCCAGGACGACGATGTGGAATGCACAATGGTTGAGAAACGTGTACTCGCGCTCTCGAGCAAGCCGCCCTTCCTGGTGCAATTGCATTCTTGTTTTCAGACGATGGTATATACAGTACCTTTTCTGCTCGGCCGAGTTACATGCATTCTTTATTTACGATTAGAATACGGTGTTGAATTAAACATTTAACTCATTATAAATCGTACCTACGGCGTGTTTATTTTTATCTTCACTTCTCTTTTATACCTGAAGTCTTGTATAATTTTGAGAAGAAATATTAAAATCCTTAAATACATTTAACTTACGATTACGAGAATTCTATTCTAACCAAAATCCATTTTAAATTACTAAAAAATAAAACGCGTTTCTTACTCTCAATTTAATTATTAAATCGGGGGGAGGGGGGAACGTAATATTGGGGATACAGTGTGGAGATGATACTGTGTTTTAAGACTGACAAATCAAGTCGGCGCACAGTTCTCGATTTCGAATACTGTCACGATAGGTGGCACTTGGGAATCAACATTAGACTGTTTATTGCGATGAGTATTGCCATGTGCCTCGGTGGTCGAATTGGTTGAGACGCCCGCCTAGCGAGAGGGAGGTCCAGGTTCAAACCCTGGCCGAGGTGATATTTTTTCGCAATAAATTTAGAATAGAATATTTAGACACTACCATCCTGTCACGGCTCTGAGTCCCTTAAATTCTTTGAAATTTGTGTTGAACACATACGAGCCTTACTAATTTATTTAATTTATTTAAAAAATAAAACTCGTCCATATTCTTCTCAAGGTTTCATTTATCAAACTGGATTGATTCTCTCTTGTTAAGTTTCGTATTAAAATTTCCGCAATGAGGGACGTGGCGCGAAGGGCATACAAGTTCTCCTGTATACGAACGATGCGAAACGCAATGAAAGATTAACCGCAACACTTGCTTACGACTTACAAAGATCCGCTTTCTGCTTTCCGCTTTAGGATCGCCTGTACTTCGTGATGGAATATGTGAACGGCGGCGATCTGATGTACCAAATACAGCAGTGTGGCAAATTTAAAGAGCCTGTGGCAGTGTGAGTATTTTAGTGTTCATGAACGCGCTCCGCTTTAACTTGCGGATCGATATCCTTAACTCTATTAAAGCGCTGTGAGAGATGCGGACGACGTAGGAACGCCGAGGACGGGAACTCTCGAGCGATTCACGTTGTCGAACTTTCTCAACACGCTCCGAATACGAAATGAAAACCGATTGTACCCGGGAGATGTGTCTCACCGAGACGGACGTGCGCGCGCGGTTACGCCTCGTCATTATCGTCATCGTCGCGTCCTTAATTTTTACTCGTTTACCACGCCCGTAATGTCGCGTTTATTTTATTCTTAGAATCACAATTGATTTCGACGAATGTACCTCGTACCTTATGTCGCTCTCTACGTTTGCAGATTCTACTCGTCTGAGATAGCGATCGGCTTGTTCTACCTGCACTCGCGCGGTATCGTTTACCGCGATCTCAAGCTTGACAATGTCTTGCTGGACCAAGATGGTCACATAAAAATTGCGGACTTCGGCATGTGCAAAGAAGGCATCACCGGTGACAAGACCACCAAGACCTTTTGCGGCACGCCTGATTACATAGCGCCTGAGGTAAATGCTTAAACAGAACTTGCATGACCAAAATATTGCAGAATATTGACGCGCGGATGAATATGTACAGTTGTTCCTTGCGAAATTTCAAATTAATTTTTTCTTAATAGAAATGTGCAGAAAAATTATCTTTTCTCGCTACTTTTTTTAATTTCAACATTCCGTATTCTATTAACTAAGTCGCAAATTAAAGTTTTCTGGAGAAATACAATCGACTTTAAATTGAACGATAGCTGATATTATGCTACTTTTGCTCTAATATTTTGTAGGACGTAGAATTCACTTTTTACATAACGTAGAATGTACTTAAAAAGGACAACAACCAATGATCGAAACGTTGTGACGTATTATTTTCAATAAATATGACCAGTTACAGTTAGGTCAATAAAAAAATCTATATTTTGTTAGTTACTGGCAACTTGTAGGAAGATTATACTTTGTACATTTTCGCAAATTCTGAGATATTCAATAAACCGAACTTCTGTATTGTTTTACTTGTCAGAGTAGAACTTCGGTTTTGTCTTACTTTGTCATTTTTGCGCAGATTATCTTATATCAACCTTACGGAAAATCCGTAGACTGGTGGGCTTACGGTGTATTACTCTACGAGATGTTGGTAGGTCAGCCTCCGTTCGACGGTGAGGATGAGGATGAACTTTTTTCCGCGATTACGGACCACAATGTCAGTTACCCGAAGAGTCTGTCTAAAGAAGCCAAAGAAGTTTGTAAAGCGGTACGCACGTCTTCTATATACCCGTATTATTCCTACAGTTTTCTGGAATTTCAATAAATTTTAGGTGCTTATATACGGAGTCTCGAGAGATTTATTTATTTAAATACAATATAAAGGACTTGAAAAAGATTTAGGATCGTCCTGCAATGGAAATGTCGAGAGAAATTAGCACAATTTCTTTATTTTCAAAGTTGGATAAGTGTTATTTCTGTTAACATGTCAATGCAAACTTTATTTTGTAAATAATTCCGAAAATTGATGATAAATATTTCTAACATGAGCTTAATCTATCCACATGTGCAAATAAGTGTACAATTCGTTCTGCTGATTATAAACTTTTAGCTCACACGCAAAATTTATTTGTTGCAGTTTCTCACGAAGAATCCGAGCAAGAGACTGGGATGCGGAATGCGCGGCGAAGAAGACGTGCGAATCCATGCATTTTACCGGCGTATCGATTGGGAGAAGATAGAGAATCGCGAGGTGCAGCCACCTTTTAAGCCAAAAATTGTAAATATTTTGTCGTATTATCTTTGCAGATATTTTTGAAAAATGTCTAAAACAATTTATTTTTCTTTGTGCAGCAACATCGTAAGGATGTGAGTAATTTCGACAAGCAATTCACCTCAGAGAAGACAGATCTGACCCCCACGGATAAGCTATTCATGATGAATTTGGACCAGACGGAATTTATGGGTTTCTCGTATCTCAATCCGGAGTTTGTGCAACATGTTTAAGCGAACTTTTCTGTCTTAGGCTTCTACCCATTCTTCACTTCATTCCTCATCATTCATCTTTCTTGTTATCACTCAGGGCTCTCTCTCTCTCTCTCTCTCCCCCCCCCTCCTCTCTCTCTCATGCTCTCTCTCACTCACTCACTCACTCACTCACTCACTCATTCACTTACTCACTCACTCACTCACTCACTCACTCACTCACTTACATAATTCTCTTTCGTTCTCTATGAATTTCTTTCTTTCTCTTTTTCTCGCTCTATCTTTGAATCTTTCTATAGCACTCTCATGACACAAAACGAGCGGGAACCTAGAATGCTGTCATTTTTAGATCTCACTAGAATTTTACGCGAGATTTTTCGGTGTATTTCTAAGCGATTGCTGATCGTATATTACATTGTGTATGCTATAAAGGATATAAAAAGGAAAAACAAGCACAGATGTTGGCTCATCGTATGAATCTGAATAGTTATCGCAAGGAAAAGACGAAGCTGATTAACGAAGAATTGCGCGTGGGGACGAAATGCAGTCCCCGCATAAAGAAAATTAAAAAATATATATATATACAATTGGCAAGGGAAAAATTTCAAAATCGATGTCTTCGTTCTTTGCGTATATTATTATGCATTTACTTCAGTAGTTTCTCTACTGTCGCCTTCCAGAGTATATATAATATATATATTAGAAGAATAAATAAATATATGATTATATATACATATACATAATATATATATACAAAAAGTCATTATGGCATATGTTACATATAAAAATATATATAAATAACATATATTATACATTATAAATTTCTATCGATATTTCGTTAATGTTGCACTTCTCGTCAGTTTAATCTTCTTAAGTAGCGGATCTTTAAAGTTGAGTCCTTAAATTTTTCGGACTCATGACGGATAAAGAATTTATTAGTGCTACGTCGAAGTCAACTCTTATAGTGACACACACTCGCGCGCGCGCGCGCAAGTAACGTATAAAAATACATTCACACATACACACTCATACTTGCGTAAATACAAGCCACACACACACGGCTTTTCTTTTTCCTTTCTTCTTTATTCGTTGCACGAGTCTGTATCTTTTCTAGTTTCTTCTCCATTCTTTGATGGAAACGCGGATATGATTACAGATATCATGTTCGATAAACTCGTATGCATGTTAAAGTAACGACGAAATGTTTTGCGATGCGAGTCGAGGGTGCGCTGAGTTGATCGTGGCCCGATGCTGATATTAAGTGACGCAATCATCGCGTCGAATAATACAGAAACGGAATCGTACAACACAATAGTTTCGCATTTATGCGTGCAAGATCGACAATATGAGCGTCAACATGAGCTCTGACATATAAAGTTTTATGTACTCTTCGCTAGTAGAATACGTCAAACGACATTATTGGGCACGATAATGTTTTACGTGAAATGAGATAACTAGGAATGCTAATGCTGTTAACTCGCAACTTTCTACAAGCTACATAAAGTTTCTTGCCGCAAGCTTGAATGCATTTCGTTGTTTCACGTGACGTAAATTATTATTATATTCTAAAATTGTTTGCCTGGACAGGAATTTTTAATGCGTAGAAGGAAATATTTGTGCGTAAATAATTAATGTTGCATTGTCTGACAATCGAAAGGATCAAGGACAGCGCCTTGATCCACTTAGCGCTTTCCTCGTGCATCTTTGTAATTACTCGGGCGAGTCTTCCCTCACTGAGACCTCCCGAGTTCGTCTCGTCGAGAAAGGCACGTTCATCGGGGAAATTTTAGGGAGACTTACAATTAGTACATGCGTAAATATAAAAAGAGAAGACGTACTCACGCCATTTCTCCTTGATCCTGTGTTTTTTTTTGTTTCGATGATCGTGATACGTGCGTGCAGTAACGGTCAATAGCATGGGTAATAATTATTAATGCGCGACTCGATTAATTATAATTAGTGTAGACATATAGTCGACAAACTCGACGTGAGCTTTTACTTTGTTTTTATATACCCGATATTGGCAGCTCGACGAGCGATATTCTTTCGATTATTTGTGCGCTGCATTTGCAATTGATGTGACTATGACGAATTATAAGAGTGCCAAAATGATCCTGCGCTTCGAGGGTCTACAGTAATGAAAATAATCATATGTTCGTATTTATCTCCGTAAGTTCTTACAATGCAAATCTTCGGTAGAAAAGCAGTCGCAATTGTTCGTTGAGTTGCACGATATAACATGTATAAAAATAAAGATTCAACGACGAGCTCGTATCCTCTTCTTCATCTCGTTGTTCGTCTCCTTACGTGAACAATGAATTTGCAGCCTCGTCGCCTCTATTAAACATCATAAAGTTTCAATCATAAATTACAACTTACCCGCCGTGCAATATTCTGATCCAGAGCGTTTGTCGATTAATCAGATTCTTTTCCAGTAATTTTAATTGAAAAACATGTAATTCGTTAATGATACTCTTTTATTGATGCCGTTAAAGGCATCACCACAGTAAAAGGATACGAATTCCCGTTTCTTTACAACTTGAAACTATTGGTTATTATTAAGCGCGTTTCAAGATAATAAAATGTTTTAATGTAGTCATCGCCCCTTTTCTTCAACGGGCGACATTTGTTCTTCGATCGCGCGACTTCGCGCGGTCTCATCGTCAAATTATGTTCTTATTTTTACGTCGCGTTAGCCGATAAATTTGAAACATTGTAACAAATTTGTGTCATGTGAAATTGGAACTTTATCGTTCTTTCAGTATGTATGTATGTCGCTAATTATAATTTGTATTGTATTATAATAAACGATTATTGTAAGTCAATGTAGTAGTTGGTATACTAGCTCCCTGCACATCCTGCACTTACCACATTTGTTTACATCTTAAGACTTGATTTTTTATCGTTAATCGTTATATTTTATTGATATGCTTTATTTCTACTAGCATTTTGGTATAATTAAATGTGCCAGATTTTGTATCAAACTTGTACTCTTTTTGCCAATAAAATTTGTAGCCCACACTGTTCTGGATATTCACTAGAAAATTATCTAAACATTCTTTTATATACATACAAGATTGCTCCGTTTATATCGGACAATCAATACGCTTGCATTCTGATCAAATTGAACTTTGCGTTGTTCTAGTTATAAATAAACTAGTACCACTCTTTTTTTATTAGAACTAGAAATAACAAAACGCGCGCTCAGTTTGTAATTGAGCATTGTATATTTTAAAAAATTTGTATACATGCAAAGAAGTAATTGTATGCGCAATGTCAATTTACAATAAAAAGTACTTTATCACTCACTGATACAATTCGCAACAGCAGAGTTGTATGTACATCGTCAACTATATAAGTTAAACCGTAAAAATACAAATATGTATATGATTATTATAGAATAATTATGTAAAATCGAAATTATTGCATTAAATATACTTTATATTTAATATTTTGCAAAATAAATATTTATTAAAATAATTGTACAATACCTACAATATTTCTCTCGACGTTATACTATGAAATATTCGCTATACGTACAATAACACGAAATTCTTTATACATACTTATTCTATTAAAGTTATTGTTACTTCGTTAATTTATGTCACCTAATTTTTTTAACTATAGAATTATGTCCCCCTATCCCTAACTATCCGAATCCCTGCCTACCCGTATTCCGATTTACAGACCCTACCTACCCGTGTTTCAACATAATGAATCTACAAATCTTTAATTAACCGCGACGCGATTTTCTAGGGGTTTGACTTGGAGTTTAACGCGCCCGCGGGATTTAATAGGGGTTTTACTCTCGCACATATGCGAGAATATGTGTATATAGAAGCATAACCGAATTGTAACAAATCAAAAGAAGTCCAAGTATAGTTCGTACAGCACCTTACTTAGGTACTCCATCAGAGTGGCCAATATTGACCACATACCTCGTCGTATTTAGTCCTTCGTTGGGCCAGATTGGACCTACCTTTCGTTGCTCCCGGCCATACAATCTGGTCATTTTGACCAGAGATCAGGAAGGAAGAAAACTCCTTCCATAGTCGGTTATCGTCACCGACAAATATTTCGTACTCTTCGAATATACGAGTATCGATCGTATCGAAAAATGCACGACCACGAGAGGTTAATTAAAGAAGAATATTAAAAAAAACTTTACTGTATATACGAATAAAAATTATTTTTACTTCCGTTAACTGTTCAAAAATATTGACCATTTCTTCGTAACTTTATCTTTGAATTAGAAATTCACGTAGATATAGAAAAAAATTTACTTCGCGTTAGAGTGATTTTAATCATATTCCTCGATAAATTAAAATTCATAATATGGATAAAATTAAATAATTAATTGAAAAGTTTTCCTGAAAAACCGATCGCGAAAACCGACCGCGAAAATACAAAGATGCGTGTGACTATGCATGTATTCATGCGAGACGCATCTTGAAAGTACGTATATCACGTATGTACATACACACGTACAAAGAATAAATGATGTGAGATCCAGAAAAACGAAACTTCTTTCACGATTCCAACCGATATTATAATTACATATTATAATGAATTAATAATCGCAAATAATATATAAAAATATATAAAAATTTCAGTGTTCTGGACAAAACATATTAGAATCTCACGCCATATTATTTTACTTTATACATCAATGAAAATGGATAGGCTACAAGAGAGCTCGACGAATACATCGATCATATTTCGCGTAATTTCTATGATGTAATTCAACCATTTTCAATATGAAAAATGAGCTCAACATACTCTGATTTGAAGAGCTCTATGAAATCACTTCTCTTCGATGAATTAAATATATTAAATAAAACGCGAAATTATTTGTAACTTGTCCATTTTAACGTAACGGATCTACGAAATGTATAAATCTACAATCTACGATCTAAAAATGTAGATTCCGTTACTTTAATAAAAAACTTTACTCACCGACACGATGCGCAGCGGCGGAGTTGTATCTGCGTTGATTCTGCAATGGATAGATTCTGCAAATCTCCTCCTGCACTCAGGTGTCCTCCTCTCAGGTGTCGCTGTCTCAGCTGTCCTTCGACACACTCGCGAATTTTCACTTCAGTTTGTAAAGTCACTTATCACTGTCACTGTATCCAAATGCCACTTCTTCGGTTTTCACTGTGACCGATTATCACTGAGTCCGAAGTTACACTTCCGTTTGCAAAGTCACTTATCATTGTCACTGTATCCTAATGCCACTTCTTCGGTTTTCACTGAGTCAGATTGTCACTGAGTCCAATTGCCACTACGAATTGTGATATTGTCGCGCTGATATCGCGCACAAATCACTGACACAAATCGCGGGAATTCAACGATCGCACGATGATATCGATCATTGATTATTCACAGAGAGCGATCGCGGTTTCTTCCCGCGCAGAAAGAGTAATACGATATCCAAAGCGGCGCGGGCACAACCGATCAATTCGACGATCGCCGCGTGAATGATCCTGCGTACGGCGCCGTAAACACCTCGGCCAATAGACAAAGTACCACGGTTTACATTCATATTTTTCGATGAGTTGATAAAGAGACACGTTGATAAAGAGCCGTCGCCACAACTTGTAAATCGTTTCTCATTACAAGTTGTAGAAACTTGATAATTAATCGAGGGACGTTACTTGTTACTGATAAAGGTGTCCAAATCAATAGCGTTTTATCCCCGCATTCATCGCGATCGAGTCTTGGAAACCGATAACGCAAAAGTAATAAGCGAAAGTAATTCACGCGCACGGAGCGACTCTCGCCGCTGCCTGCCGGCACGACGTTCGGCGAGCGAGTGAGAACGCGGCGACCTTCAGGTGTACACGATGGCACGCAAAAACATCGTACGTCACCGCGCCGAGTGAAAAACAAAAAAAAACGTTGAGAATTCGTTGGCCCGCTTAATCGTCGTACGATATCGCGCCAAGTGAAAAACAACAAAAAAAAACGTTGAGAATCCGTTGTGGCCTGCCTACACAATGGAAAATTCCGTACTTAATATTTTATTGTACATTACTTTGTTCCGTGACTGTTGCTACGTTTTGCGTATTATTCCGATAACTTATTGGTATTGATTAAATTAACGATTAATTCTGTTCAATCAAGAAAATATTTCGAAACAGAAATCGTTGTTACTTAAATTCTAATTACTAGGATTAGAGATTTTACCTCAATAGTTGGTGTATACAAATGTATATTTCTAAATTGCAAATCTTCATTTACTATAAATCTAAAAGAGGAGTGAAGCACACCGCGCTTCGAGAAGACCAATCGACACCGCGGAAAAGAGGCCTCAACTGTTCGATATTAACGACAATCGCGCTGGTAACATCGATCCTTTTTAGAAAGGGATTTTTGTAGTCAATAAAAACAGATGAACTTGTAGAGTCCCTCCACCAGCCCCGCCGATTTCGATCGGCGATCCTCTTTTCTTTACAATTTGGTTTTATCGTATTTGTTATTTATTTTATTTTACTCATAATTTACTTTACAATAGTTCCAAAAGTAAAAATGGACGTAATGGCGCGCAAAACAGTCTCTTGAAACGGTATCAAATAAAACGCCGCGGCGTGACCGCTCTAAGAACGGACTATGAATACCGACCACTCTCTCGCTGAAATTGTGGCCAGGGGCTCGATTCTTGAATTTCGAAGGAGAAAAGTTGCAAGTTGATTGGCTATTCGCATGGCTTTAACCAATCGACTTTCAACTTTTCTGTCAGAGCAGAATTTTCGTATACGTTTCTTCTTCGAATGAATTCAAAAATCGGGCCCCAGACTCCGTGACTTCGGTGGTCGATAGACCGTCACGCCCCTACTGACTGGCTGACGAACTAATAATAAGAATATTACCTCTCTGCGATTCCAGACGCGAGTCTAGCAATACGCTACTTGTAGTCCTAGATTTAAGCTACGCGATTTAAATAATAAATATATATTCAAACATCCACTCTAGCAGTGAACGCGCATAGAAATAACCCACACCTCTATAAAATTATAGCTGCTGCCGCCATCTTTTACGTACAGCTTGACACTACGATTTATATTTTGCAACTACTGTGATTCTGACATATGAATTTGAGGTTATCTTCATGTCAAAGCAATCATCAAGTTACTGCATCGCGTAACTGCTTTATTTAACTGTGTTGTATTATTATCATATGATATAGAAACTGTCATCGTTATTTCAACAGATTGTGATTTTTCAAACACGATATAGTTATACATCTCCCAATTGTAAAGAAATTAATGTTTCCCATAACAATGTTGAAATACACGTTTGTCGTACCGTTGTATCACTTGGAGTGCTTATAGATATATTTGTTTCGACAAACACGAAAATGGCACTTGTTAACATCGAGGGAATCGATCCTTGGTAAATATATAAATTTATTTATGTAATATATATTTATAATTGTATTTACAATTTGTTCACGTATCCAGTAATCTATTGCGTATGTGTGATTAGGCTCACGGAATATGACGCGTGCGAGAAGCTGTTCCGTGAAATTATGGAGCAGCTCACTATGCGCGATGGAGAACCGAAGACCTCGAAAGTTTACGCTAGCTTGTCAGCCAACATAAGATTGCGTATGAAGCAGTACACCCGAGAAGTTCAACAATTGAAATGCAAAGTGGAAGAGGCTTCTAAATTGAAAACAATGTACAATATTTTATCTGTATACATATTAATTTCTTAGCACGAGAATTTAGACTTTGAGGTAGTAACTTTAAAATAATAAGTTTCCTGAAAATTTGTATGGCAGAACGTTTGAGGAGGCAGAACGTAGGACAAGACAAGTGGAGCAACTACAAAGCAAGGATATTCAGTTGCTAAAGTTGTACGAGCCACGTACAAATGATTATGTATCATCGCGCGCGAATTTATTAAAGGCAGGCTCGACGGCTTTCGCTGACGGTGGAACAACTTCTTGGGCTGCTGACGACGACGACGACAAACCGTTGGACGTGCAAGTAACCGTCAATGATCTTATGAGTCATCAAGAGCGAGTATTGATAGGTAACAATGATGCTTAGAGAAAATCTTAACAACTGTACAATATGTACATGGTTTGCATTGTCCTAATGTTTTCTAGAACAAGACAGAGGCTTGGAGGAGTTGTGTAAAGTGATAACTCGCCAAAAAGAAATTGGACAAACTATTAGCAGTGAAGTGGATCATCAAAACGGTGAGTAATATGAGAGATTTTAAGCTCGTGACAATATGATGTGAAAAGTGTTCTTTAAATTTCGTTATATTGTAATATAGAAGTAATTGATGATCTGGCTGATCACATGGACAGGACTGATGAATCTTTGATCAACAAGACTCAACAAGTTCGTAATATCCATTCCAAAGATCGCACCTGTGGGTACTGGATAGTGATACTTATACTTTTTATTGCTATTGTTATTGTTTCTGTCGCATAGATAGTTATTGGTTATATTAACTTTAATTCTATTACGAAATGTCTATATTTAAACTGCAAACATTGTATTGATGTTTATAAATAAATAATATAATTATAAAGTAGTACTTTTCTATTTTAATATTTTCTTATTACCAAATTAAAGTTATATATGTATAAATAATACAATATGTATGCGAACAGGGTGATTCAGAATGATTACACCGATTATTCTGACACGCCTTGTATGTATGTTGTGATAGTCTATAAAATTAATATCTTTTCCCCTCAACGTCGAGTCGTCGACTCGATCCGACTCGTCGGGAGTTCCCGCGAAAAATCAAAATAACTATAATTGTAAGAACATACGTAAACGTCGAATTTATTGTTAATAATATTAACCTGGCGAAGCAGGAACCACGCAGTTTAACTTAGTAATTAACAAAGAGCAATTAGCGGGAATTGGCCAGCAACCACATGAATAGGGAGTGAATAACAGGAATCCCTCCCTGACGAGCGAAAATGTAAAGTCAGCAAATTGACCGCCGCCGAAAACGACCGGAGATCGAGACTTTAATCTCGGGGGATGGAGTGCCACCACCACCGTTTACGTACGCGCGGACCACCGCTACGGCCCCAAACTGACCCGCTGCTGACGGCCGTTGGACCGAGGAAATTCGGCAACGGCACTCTTGGGAAAGCCGTGAGATTGAGCGTATCCCGGTGAGAAAGCGGACCCAGAGTCAGCCCCTGAGAAGTTGAACACCTCCTATTCTAAACCGTTACCGAAATTGCCTTGAAAATTTGTCGAGCGGGTTCCTGATTCAACTGTACGCAAAGGAAATAAAATTAAGTGTTCTGCCCGAGGTAATTTCGAAGCCATTTATTCAAACTTCAGATACGATAGAGTCTACAACACTTCCGAGTTCCTCCAATGAACCCCCCCCCTTTTTTCATTAATCTTTCTAATCCAGTTATCGTTCCAAACGTTGTATGTAATCGTTTACTAATTTTGTAAAAATTAATTGGCGCCCATCATTAATTGTTCGAACCGTCCGCGGAACTCAGCAGTGAGATTGTTATGAGCCCTGACGGCTTCGGACCCGGCCAACAAATGGTATTAACATTTTATTTATATGTGTAAGACGTGCGAATAACAAAACGAAGAAAAGTGAAGATTCGACAGAAAGCTCGTTTCCCAGAAATAGTTAATATTTTATTTTTGTTACAGTGCACATTGACATCTTGATTTTTTTCACATTAAGGCGAGGATCATGAGTAGTTGTTTTCTCTTCATTTGGCTTATCATTATCGTCACCTGCTGTCGGATGCGCGTACTTCGCTCTTTTTCGCACACGATGCTATTAGAGCCTGAGCAGAATGGTTGTCTTGTACTCTTGAGACAATGTTTTATGCTTTAAGTCTTTGTCTTAAAATAACGCACAATAACTGTCTTGTGTCTTAAGATTACAAAACAGCTATTCTGCTCAGGACCTTATCCCTGACCGCGGATTTCAAATCCGTCTATCCCTCGAGTAACACACGCACGCTTCGCGTATCAGGAAGCGAAAAGATCTCCATCTCGAGGGGTGTTTCGTTTGTGTGTGTGTATGTATGTGTAGCGTAGTGTACATGACGTATTCAACCATGTGGTACCATCGAAGCGACTCGATAAATCGTCTAGGAGCACAACTCTTTTTTTTTCTGTTTTCCACTTAATATCACATGATTACGCCTAGTATCTAATTTACGCTCTAAGCAACTCTATTCGTACGTGTTGTGTCGCATTGAGTGTACAAATTCGAGACTGCTACCCTAGTAAAGCCCGATAGTGCTGCATGTTGACTTGATACTTTGTTTGTGCTTCGTCGACATCGTGGGATCGAGAAACAATCCCGATAGATTAGGATTTCGCTACATGCACGCGAAAATTGACTCTATGCTCACTCGTGATGAGTCCATGAGGTTTAGTAAGGTCTATCTTTTAACGTCTATATCACGTCTACATCCATTCCGCATCATGTGGAAAATTAAACTCATTGGAACTGTGTCAGTTACAAATTCTCATTAAGTGTCACACTGCATTCTGCCCAGTCAGCGGCTTTGATCACGCGTTTTCTTCTTTTCTTTCATTTTGTTTTGAGTGCGTCTTGTAACCAGTGCGCGAACACTTGGGTCTCATTCTTCTCTTGGGATATCTTGGATCGACCGTTCAGTCTTTCGAACGTTCTCCGACGGTGTACATCGGCAGAAAGGGATCGTGTGTCACGTGTGAGAAAGAGGTAAACAGGTAAAGGTAGATCAAAAGTTTTCTGCGTTTGTTTTATTGTGCTCGCGTGAGTTGTGTTGTCGTTACTATAATAAGCACTCTTGGTCGTCGTACGCGGCCCTGCTGATCGGCAACTGACCGGCAGAGAAACGCCTTCGTTAAGATTACAAGGATCCGTAATCACATATAGAAATGGTCGTGGAATAGAAATTGTATCTAGAGTGATTATGGGGAGAAGGAGGAAGATATACGGTGGTGTCGTCGTTAGGTCTACGTGGTATAAAATGTGTGATTCGTTCAAAGTTGTGGGCCAGCAACGCGCGCCGCAGTGGGTCTTCTCAAACGGTTGCAATGTTTGTAGTCAGTTGTTGCAATGTCAGTCATAATGTTCGTAATTATATGTGTTAGAAAAGTTCGTCCGATCTCGCGCCATACCGTATCAGCTGGTAAAACGCTTCTTCGCATTTTCTCGTCTCATGCGCTTAAGAATCGGTCACGCGCATACAAGATTTCGATTTCTTCACTCTCCCATGCAAATAGACGAGGTGCGCCAAGTAGAGATGGGTGAGCGAGTACACACACGCTCGGTTTTAACCTGGCGACGCTCGTAGAGATTATAAGCTCGAACAGTGTGTGATTGTGTGTATAATCGATCATACAAAGTTGGACTAGGTCTAAAAGAGCATCGTAACGCGAGTTACAGAACGCGATGATTCTTCGTCCAATGTGCCATCTAGAGTGATCGTTTGCATGTCAGGGAATTCGTATGCCGGTAGGAAGATGGATTCACGCACGAGATATACTTGCTTCATATCGCGAGTACACTTGGCGGAGGGAGACAAAGAGAGCGAAGCAGGCACAGGCATGTGTGTTCGTTGTGGTCACTTGTGACTCCAAAGCACATTTACTAATTTACTGACGACAAGATTCGCGAATACACTCTGACTCAAGTCAATCCACACATCATTGACTTCTCTCATTCGACTTCTCTTTCCTCTCCTAATTGTAAGATCAGCTCGAGGTATCTCTTTCTCTAAAACTACTTTTTTTTCTCAGATCATGGATTGTTATATTCGGTTACGCGAGAGCACGCTTCCCGTTATCTGTGTATCAATCCTCATGTGTATGCATGTAATATGTATATGCGTGTCGCTTACGTTTCTTGGTTCAATAAACATCTGCATTATACATGACGAGTTACACAGCGTTCCGCAAAGAGTTCTCTCTACTTGTACCGTCAAAATCAATCATTGCAACACGATCAAAGTATATATGTATATGTATATATATATATATTTACATTTACTATCTACATTATCTACACATCAACAAACTGTTAGTTTTAGCATCTTCATCGTATTGAATTTGTAAATTGTTTTCCTTCAAACGTTATGTATCTCGCCTCGCATTTGCCATCCATGTCATTTCCAATCATTCACACTTTCATTCTTTCATCACCATCATCATTATAATCATCTGCATTTATCATCATTATCATCATTATCATCATCATCATTACATCATCATCGTTATTTTCATAATTATCTTTATATTGATGTTAAATGTGTAAACTCACGACTAGTTCGAAGTAACGATTATCATACAATGCAATCATAATTCTTCGACTCTCGGTCACAAATAACCGCAAATTAAATTCACGATCGACATACAATTCGCAACAACGACTTATTCAACAAAATATAAAAAAAAATAAAATAAATATACCAACTTAAAAAAAGACAAGGGAGTCGGGGGCAATTAACAATAAACAATAGCTACGCGATACGCATGTTATAGCACACGCTGTGATCGCATAATTTCGGGCCATGACAGTCTCTTTTACAAACGTTCGCATCCCTTTCGAGGCTGCGTCTCGTCGATTTCACCATTTTCTTCAGGCAATGCCATCGTTGTCTCTTCGTGTGAACATTGACGATTCTTTTCTCCTCAGAGAATCATCCTGTCTAACACCGGGCGAGATTTTCCCAAATGGCAATCAAATTAATCGGCGTCGTGACATTAATGACTCAACGTCTTCGACAATGTCCTTGGAATCGTTAGTCTTCCTCTAATCTCCTGGCGGCGAAACCTTCCTGAGGCTCACAAGTTCAGGTTAAATTAGGCTGCGATGATGGCGAAGGAGTGGCGGGCTGGGGATATGAGGCCGTGTCCTATATGAATGCCCAGCATTCCAATGTTTTAACAACGAAATCTTCGCGCGGTGCCAACGGCTCGTTGCCGTATGTGCTACAGGATTGGGTCCGGCCCTGATACAGATCACCGTCCAACCAGAGCCCAAACTTGCCACTAAAACAAGATTATTTATGTAAAGCTCTCATCCAACTGCAAAACAACAGTGGTACTTGAAAAAACGAGAGAAACTTACTCTCCAGCACCAATTGCTAAGCTCTCGTTGTTGCCCTTGATGAAGTACAGGTTGTCCCCAGTCCAGTTGAAACACTGGAACCTCGGCGAAAACCTGAAGAGCAGGGACTCGCCGGTACCGTAAAAGTGATCGCTCACGTGCAGAGAGCACGAGGTCAGTGCACCAAACACCTGTAACAGAAACAAGTAATTTACGAAGGCTGCGACATATGCACATGGTAAAACCGACAGAAGGATTATTTCATGTTTGTGCACTTATTCCAAGCTCTCTGAACAAATGGTCCGAATGGAGTTGGCGATAAACCAGTTTGCACGGATGCAGGACATTCACGAAGTAGGCGAACACAACTTTATGAAAATCCATGTTAATCCCTCGCCCAGACTAATTATGATAATCATGAAACTTTCTACTTCGGATTAATCGGGTCAGCCAACCTCGAAATTTTACTAGAGACTGAATGTCTTTTACTTATAATTAGTTAATCTTTTCGTTTGCATGTACGTGTGTGGGTGCACGCACGCATGCGCACACAAGAAATCAATTAGTTTGATGACGTACAATCTTCTAACAAATAATTATATTTTGAATATGATACTGTATATTTTTAGAGCTACCTTTTTGACATGTGTCACGCGTAAAATGATCTACGTATGATCTAATACAATAATATGCTCGTAATATAACGTGAAAATGCAATCACAGATGTGACCGTTGTATTAGTTACAAGATTTATTTTCGAGAGTCACATTCTTGGATCAGATTAGAACCGATTGGCCAATCAACAATTTGATTTACGACAGGGAACTCACATTGCCCTCCGTGTCCTCGATGACTAATAAGATCGGGCTCTCGATCTTGGCCATTTTTCGGTACATGCTGTTGAGACTGAAGCCATGCTGGCTTGTGCTGAAGACGAGAGTCCACTGGTAGCCCTCCGCTCTCGCGGGCAGATGACGGCAGAGCTCTTCCCTGTGCTCGTCGCTGAGTATTTCCGTCGTGCCGATGAGGTCGGGCACAATGACGTCGTTGTCCAAAGAAATGGCACTGTTCGCGTAAAGAGCTCGCCTGAACTCCTCGCTCATAGACAGTACCTGCGAATGAGGCGAAATATCATTTAATAACATACCCTCCAGACGTATTCCTCGACAGTGATACGTATATCGCGAATTCTAATCGAGGAGGTAAGAAGTAAAGTCGTCTCTACCAACAACGATCCCATGAAAAGATGATCGCGACATAAATGGATGTGAATAATGTTCTAAACGGTGCTCTATTGGTATGTGTGGACGGCACAGTCGTTGATATTTGAGGACACGTATGAAACTCTCCTAATGTTCATTAAACACAGAAACTATCTTGCAGCATGCATGTGATGTCTACTCTGGATATGCTGGATAAAAAACTTTAGTGTATCTCAGAAGATGAAGACAGATATTGAATCGGAACCAGGCAAGATATTGAAGTAACGGTTGATCGTAATATCGAGTCGTAATATTGGACAAACGTAACATGCCTCTTTTCAGCAAATATAATGGATACGACTGTCATGTCTTATTATATAACAGATAGACATGTATAAAATTATAATATATATAATTTCGTAATATTATAATAAATAAATTATTACTTTGATAAGTCAAGAATTACCTTCAATAAATATTTCACTTTTATCCTGCGTGACTCCAAATTTCGCGGAGCTTCAAAGAATTCTATGCAGAATTGTCAGGTTTCCTCGTGAAATTTGACCGTGAAAATAAGTGCTGCTAATATGAAAAATTAATTGACGTCCCTTTGGTTTCTGACCTCCTCGGTTTGACTAAATCTAAGCACATTTAGGGCACTACCACATCCAAGTGTCGTGTTGTACTCCGTTAATACGACCTCACGTAACCGCAGTGGGTGTTGCGTTTATTCAAGTCAATTGCCGGATAATTATTAACGTGGGAGGCCACCGTGAAATGTGTGCCAATATTAAATTACTTTTGTTCGACGCCCGCCGTCACACGGAGTCGCTTAGCTTCGCGCCACGCATGATAATGCAATACGCGCGCGCTCGAATGCAAATGCCACGCGATGCACATCCATACAGAGCCCCCGAGGTATATATACATTATAAATATATTGTGTATATACATTTATAATATATGATAGAATCCAATTGTAATGATAGAATCCAAATAGAAGCTAACGGAAACGGACGGCCTTGGAATAAAATCGTATCGGAGCGACTGAACGCCGCATCGATTGTATCGCATTGAACCCGCAAGTCGGTGCATAAAATGATGGGCAGAATATCGATGTCAAATAGATAGAAATTATAATAGGTTTAAGTGAATAATAACTGAAGCTCGAAACAATGCAATAATTCCTGAATTAATAAGAGTGCAAATAAAAAGAACGATGACTATTTATTCAATAATTTTAAAATTATTGAAACTAAATATAAAAATAATTTTTTATTTGAGAGCGAGCGAGTTAACGTTTTTATAATGAATTTAATTAGTGTTTTATTTTGTCCTGACGAGCCTCCTGTTATATTGGAACGTAATTACATTTACAATACTACAACACTTCTTTCGCTTTATGGAATTTTTATTAGCAGGAGCAAGTTAAAAGGGATAACAAAACGGTCAATCGTGTAAAAAATTTTCGAGAAGAATGTAATAAAAATTACAAAGTGCTGAATACGTATTGCTAATCGTCATAAAATCGCGTAAAACATTATGTCTCGTAGGGTAGGAAAGCAAATTGCTGATCCGTAGGCAACGCATTGTTAACATGCGACACGGTGTTATCGCGCGCTAAATTATTGGACGGTTCCATCACCGATCGATCTAAATAATAGAGTGACGACGCAAGTTCGCGCACCTGACAGCGATAAATTCGATAACAGTTTCCACGCACTGTTCTGTACACGGCACGCATCATTGCAACTTGGTAACATCGTTCCTAGTAATCTTTGTATCGATTGTGTGTCGCTGTATGTGACAACAAAATATGCATCTGACAACTGTTATAGATATTGTTTAATACAGATTGCAGACGTGAGTGAGGGAAATAAAACGTTAATGATTATATCATGTTTACACTGCGGATGACACACAAAGCGTGAATGAGAGAGGTCTGGACGTATGTACTTTTGCATTCTTTTACATTTGGATGAAAATCTGTCGCACGTACTATTTACAGACATGCGTCATTTATGAAAACACATCTTGTTCGATTTTATTCATTTCTCGACTGACGGTATATAGCGTTTGAAATTAATTTAACTTTCTTTCCTCGCTGTAATGGTTTTATACGTGGTCTTTATCTACCTTTTAATAGATTTCGAGATGACTCGCGGGGAAGATTCACTATTACATTTTAGCGTTACATATTTTTACCGAGTATTTGAATTTTCAAAGAAAGTCCTAATGGCGTTAAAAGAACATGGATTAAATCATCGGTTATTTCTAAAATTAAGTCGTCATTTATTCAACCCTTTTGCGTACAAGTAGTGTGTGTGTAAAGCTAGCATATCATTTTGCTGAAACTCACAAACAATTGGGTAATAAAAAAAGAGAATATAATAGATTATATTATAAATGTAACAAGAACGATGCGATGATATTTCGAATTATACTTCGATTATCTCTTATTACGTGTGTTTCTGTTATGTATGTTACAATTGACTACGGAAAAATTTTACTCCAAAGATGCCGTCTGCTTGTTACTGTTTTCAACATTATCAATCGTTATCAAACAAACCTGTCTTCTTTGCGCAAAAAAAAACCGCAAAAAAATCCCGATAACCTTTGATCTCGCGATTGGAAGAATTTTAGCTTTCATACGAATGTTTGTTATGGAAGGCAGCTGCCCTGACTTCTTCAGATAATGTTATTCTAACATTTAAGATGTTTGACGAAAAGAAAGATCAACAAGAATCACAGATATAAAGAGCTGAACAAGCCATTTGTGAGCATATTTATACCTTTTCCTCGTTGAATTTTTACTATTTACTAAGTTTATATTAAAATACAAATATATTAGCGTAAATATTCACTACACTATAATTGATAGTAACATCACTAGCAATAAAGTGAGTGCCAGAAGTGTCTACGTCAAATTAATTTTAATACCTTTCATCCACACGGCATTATTGTAATCTTCGCTAAAATTTTTTAAAGGCACCGAACATCGGTAATAATAAATAAAATTTAAAGCATAAAAGTATGCAAACAGATATAAGTTAACGACTACACAATTCACTGATTCTCTCCTCGGCTTACAGAAGGGAAAGAAGATCCAGAACTTGATATCATGGACCCCACATTTGTTTCTTCATATTCCTACACGCGGGAAGAGCGGGCAAGCGTTTATTTATACATAAAGATTGCATTATCGCGACATGCGGGATTGCGAGCCTATCGTACTTTTGACATTCGTCTCTCACACGGACGGATATAAAAATGTCGTCACTGCCGGTCAATCAGTTCTTCACTACCAAGTTTTTCAAAGCTCATTATCATTATCGACCACTTCACTGAATGCATCGCGTTAATTTCAATTTGATAGCGACACGCTATACCAGATGTTCCGCACAAACAGCTCGTTAGCCAATGCAATTATCGGCTTTTTAATAAATTAACCGGGAGAACAATAGCGATCGTTATAAACAATTTCCCAACTATCACTTGTATGGAGATAAAAAGTATCACGTGACAAATAGTCACCTATTTTATGGGGATTCAAATCCCCCATTTTGATATATTGATTTTTATAATTCATATTCAAAACATTATATTCTAATTCAATTAACATCTTTAGCAAGTACTTTTATATCCATAGCCTAAAAAGCTAACAAAATATTGCGGATTTTAAGAATACTCCTAAATCAAAATATTAAAATAATTAAATTAATAAGCAAACAAAATAAAAATTTGCCGAATTAATTGAAGAATTACATTGAAATCATCGACGAAGATTCCACTGATGTTCTATTTAATCGATATCAAATTGGATTAATAGTATATATTCGCCAATGAAGATTTAATACGAATTTATCGATTTCTGTACCGAAATTTGAGTTTAATGCGACAGAAGTTACAATATCTGCATAACAGGTAAATTTTCTGGGCATCGATGACAAATTGTGCCGCGATCTTTGCGTTGCTTAAACTCGATATTGGTGAAGTGATGATAATAAAATCCTTATCTCGGCGATTTCAATATAATTCAAATACGTAAAAGAATAATTTCTTATGAGTCATATGTAAAAAAATCAGGGCGACTTTTCAAACGAGAAAATAACTAGTTTTTTTTGCAATTTGCGTTACTAATACTTATAGTATTATAGTTTGAGATTATTTTGTATAAATAGTTTTTATAGAGGTATAAAAAGAGTGACACATCACGCGTCCTTGTCACATCCTACAACTTGTATGTTAATACGCTCCGCGACACTCGTCTGCGATTATTACGTCGAGCGATGCAACAACAACACCATTGAGACGGTGGTCACGTGCGTGATCTGTGAAATCTGAGAAATACAGAAATGATTGATCTCTCCGCGTGGAGGTTATCGCAAGATAAGAAGAGTAGATTAAAAGAATTTCGTGAAAAAAAACTCATGTACACAATGCACCAAAGATACATTAATCGCTCAACAAAACTCTTGGCTAAATCAAGAATCAAATCTTTTTGGGAAAATTATATACGCAATACGAAATCGAGACAAATCTAACATGAAAGTTTAATTGAGTTGTTTTAAACAATTTTTGTAAAGATGTTTTATATTTTAGATGTTAATAGCTGGTATTAATAAAAATTCGATAGAGAATCTTTTTATTTTCGTTCCGAGTTTTTTTTTTCATTAACAATAGCGGGGTAAAAACAATGGAGACACTCCACGTGGTGCGCCACAACAGGCGAGAATTTCACGTGCTCGTATAAAAAAATAGGTTACAAGAGACCATCCTTAACGCTTCTTTTCAGATACGTGCAAGCCAGATATGAAAATAGAACACGGAAGAACACATTCCTCTGACAGGTTAACGACCGTGAAAAGCGTATTAGTCAGGCGTTAAGTGAGTCAATCTTACTATTGGAT